GAAATGTTCATTCCGACTGAGTTTGTCAATTGTGTTACTTACAGTCCAAATAATAGTTTTGTAAGATGACATTATTAAAGTAAAGGCTATGTCAGCTTAATACCATTAACTGATGAGATACATTCAGTCACCTGGCTTTCATCTGAAATAAACATCACTTAAAACACTGAATGATCTTTACCGTCTAAATGAGGCCACAGAGCTAGGTTTTCTCCTTGCCACCATATTTACCAATACAATATAGCGTAGCTGATGCTAACTCGCAGTGACATAAGGGATTTTAGTCATCAGACTATACAATGTGTTCATAAAAATAAACAAATTCAGCTGACAAGTAACCAAATAATCATCATTATCTTAAGAGTGACTATACATCGGTTTAAGTTTCATGTTTTATGACCCATTGCTAATCCTAATGATGTTGCTGGAACACAACCTAGCAAGCTAGAAAAGCTTTATATTTGTTGTACTAATAATTCACAATTATTTAAATGTCATATGTAATTGTTCAGCAATTGCAGTAAATTGTTTCCTCCATACTTTTGTGCAGGTTCTGGTTGAATTTTGGCATTAATCAATCAGGTTTCGATGAATATCATTGCAGAGGAGATTAGAGTGGTATTGACTGGCTGAAGGGTTGGGCCTTGTGCCAGCTCTCATTAGCGGTCTCTGTCCTTTCACCTCGGTTTGTCTCTCAGTTTTCCCTGCTGCTAATGTTTGTGCCTGCTGATTTAAACCGATGGTAGTCCTAAGTGCTTTAATAGAAATGTATTGATCACAGGGCTTGCGAGCCATTTATGTGGCTACATGGATATTTTCACACAGAAAAGATAACAGGCAACCTATTTTCTGCATGTATACATTGCATTTTATGTCTTTCATTCTGCTGTTTTACGGTAAAAAAAACAAAACAAAACGTAATCTTCATGTGAAACATTTGTGTTTCATGTAAGCAGTCTGAATTCGGCCTTACCTTGAGACCTATGTCCTATCAGTACTTGGCTATTGCAAAAAGAGTTTAGTCCATTTAGGTCAGTCAACCTAAATTTTCACCCAAAGTCTTAAAGGTTTTAACTCCAAGTTTGTCTCTAGTTTTCCAGTTTTTGAAAAACTCTTTCTCTGGTATCATTATTTCCCAGGACTCCATGCCCACTATGTAGAAGCCATAGTAATCACACATTGTTGTTTCTTACTCAGCTGACCCCTATGGCCTGCTCTCTGACCGCTCACCCCTTCCACACTGCATGGTGTTTTTAGAACGAGCCTCACAGTCAGCGACCTTGGTCAGCAGCTCCAGTTTTAATCAGTGGTTGTCTTCAGATGGGGTGTCCAAACTAGCCGCTTTCTGTTTCCTTAACGAGTCTACAGTCCCATTCTCACTTGCAGCCTATGCTGTAGCTCTCACTTGCTTCGTTTCTTTTTACATCAGGGTGATTGCCTCTTTATGAATGTGCCTGACCAGCACCTAAGGAAATTGGATACTAATTACCATTGCATGTTTAGTAATATTAATAGCTAAGCTAGCTAGGTGGCCACCCCAATTCCCACTTAGTCATATATCAATCTGGTTTTATACATAAAATTTTATATACAAATCTGCCCCTGGACTGGTTCCTTGCTATCTGTTAAAATATAAAATATGTAAAAACCAAGGTCACTTTCTCTCATAATAGTTTACAAATTTTTATGTATAGAATAAACAACAAAACAACAATATTTGCTTTGTTATGCTGCCCCACTTTACAAAATAATAAGTCACTTATAAAAGACTGGATTCTTGTAGTTGCTCTTCAAGTTGCACTGAACCTGTTTTGACCTTGATATTTATTTTATGCAATCTGCATATTGTGTTAACTCTTGTAGACTGTGACTTTTAATAATTGCTGTGATGTCTGTTGCCCTCTTGGCCAGGTCATTCAGGGAAAGAAACAAACATTTTCTTTAATCACACTGAGACTTTTACCTAGAGAAAAATGGTAGCGTGGAGATGTATACAGAAAAAAAAAACCATATAAATGAAGCACATCAGAGTTCAGACAGGGTTTGAATGTGATATCTAGCCTTATCTTTGAGTTAATGCAATTATATTGTTTTGATGTAAGCCGTTATTAATCCATTATATCCATTATATAAAAGGTGTAATGACTAATCAGTTAATGCTCTATTTGTTTTCCCTCACAATAAGGTAATTTACAATGACTATCTTCCCCCATTGCCCCTCTAGGGATCACCTATTGTCCGTGTGCATCTATCTCTTAACAAAGTTTGAATATTCTGACAAAGCTATTCCAACTTTTGAAATTAACTTTGACCGGGGGCGTGCTGGTGGCTTAAAGATAATCACATCAAGGGCATGCAGCCTGACCTGTTTTTGCATCAGTAAGTTTCTGCTCACTGAAAAGCACTTAATCGTCAATTGTTGTCTTGGCTTTTGTGGGAATGTGAATAGCACCTTATTGATTGGAAGCAAAATGTTTTTAATGTTGTAGATGAGATTTCAGGATTGCTAGCTAATGGGAAGATGGAAGCTCGCTGCAATTTATTTTCAAGAAGAGGCCCAAATTGGAAAATCTTTACAGACATAATTAAGGCTTATCTGATAGTATTGTCAGAACTTTTCAGATGCTGTTTTTATTTATTTATTTTACCTATGCAGCAGTGTTTGTTAGGTACCAAAACACAAACATGCACAGCACTGAGATGGGTCTATCCAGAAAAGTAATGAATATAATGTAAAGAGGAGTATTGATGTTTCATCAAAGCTAATGACAGTAAAAACAATGTCCTTGTAACTGGTATTGCATTGTATTGCCATTATTTTGCCAAATAATTTAACATCTTTTGTTGATGTTATATTATCAGTTAGATTAGGCTTACCCTAATCGATGGTGTTACTTTTGTCCTCTGGTTGCAACTATGGGTGAGCTGCATTGTGTATGCCGCTCAAGGATATGGTATGTGGACCAGTGGAGCTACATGGAGTTCAAAGTCAGGCTCCTCCACCTGGGGTATGACCTGGATATAAGTAGCTATGGTGTTTTGGTGTTTCAAATAAGATTTCACTATAACAGATAATTGGTACTAGTGGGACTCTCCTTATAATAATATAGGCATGAAAGCACAAAGGGAAATGTTTTTCAGTCTTCTATAGGGCAAAACTCGTGTCCTGACAAAACATTAACAACAGTCTCTCTTGCACCTTTTCTCAGCACTATGCTTTATACTATCTTTCATACTGGATGATTACTTTCTCTTGAGCTCTGCAGAACACTTGTTTTGTTGGAAAGAACTGTACAGTGGATTTTCATATTACTAATCCATGTAATCCAAGTAATCCAGAATTGTTGCTTGTAACGCTTGAAAATCAAATATTTGTTCAATTATTAGAATATGCCATTTTGAACTTGAGTAAATCACTATTCAAACAATATAGCTGTCTCCATCTAGTTCAATGAATGTAACCACAATCATAGGGAAGACGGTTGACTTCACTGTTATCTGAATAACGATCATCAAAACACTCCACAGAGAGGGTAAGCCACAGAAGGTCATGGCTGGAGAAGCTGGCTGTGCGGCTGCTGTATTGAAGCATATTGATAAAAAGTTGAAAAGTGTGGTAGGAAAAGTTGCACAAACAACAGAAGCTGGTGTCAGACCATCAAGAGCCACTGCAAACAGATATCCTCAGGAAAGAGGCTGCAACTGTCAGAGCTAACGTCAACCCACTCCTGAGCCAGAGACAACATTGCTTATCTGAACTAAGTTGAAAAAGAACAGTGCCAGATGCCTTTTTGGACCAATGTTCTCTTTTCAGATTAAATATTGGATTTCATTGGAAATGTTCTGTATTGTAAATCCTTCAAACTGATCATTGGAGCTATTCTAAAAATTTAGGATACTGGATTTCTCATTTACATGAGCTATAAGCCATGAACATCAAACGTAAAGCAAAAAGGACTTGAAATATTTTAATTTAGAGGTAACCAATAAAGAATCTATGAAATTTGAACTTTCTGAATTTAAAAAAAAAGGTTTTTTGAGCTGTACTATACTTTAATAGCTGGGTAGTTGACACCATATTACCAAAAGATGCCAGTGTACCTTGTTTTTATTCATTTTGTTAGCTTTTGGGCATCTTTAAATTTCTTTGCTCTCTTGCAAAACTGATAAAACTTACATATCTGTACAGTAATATGAGAGTACCACCCGCAACTGGTTAGTTTAGTGTACCATAAATGCTGGAAATGTGCTGCACTATTTACTATGTTCATCCATCACCATAAAAATGGGCACTTTAATTTATTTTTAGCCAAGCCCACTGCTGACTGTAATTAGTCAAAATTGTATATTTAAAATGATTCCCATCAACTGCACTGGAGTCTTCTGTATGATTAATTTCCCTAAATGATACAAGAAAGGTAAGGACAATTAGATAATCTGTATTAGAAAGTAACCTTTGCAAAGAATTACATTTTTAGTGCAACCAGATGGGAATGGGGCAGAATATCAAAAACAAGTTTGGACTTTCAGAGAGGGAATAGAGGTTCAGTGGTTGAAATTTTTGGTTCCATGCAAGACGGCCCTGAGTTTGTACCCTTCTGCTTGCAGTTATTTTCTATGCGAGCTCCAGCTTCTCCCACAATCACAACATGCGCTCCTCCTCTTGTGAGCTTGACCAAAGTACTGGCTAAATAGATCTCCTAACGCAATGCTCCTTTAAACGATTTAATGTGATTTTCAGTGGATCCAAAAAATATACGTCCAGATGAACAGAATCAGCTTTTGGAGATTTACTTACCTGGATGATAGAGAATGCATCAAGACATACCACGCATTATAAGAAAAAGAAAACACTCTTATATTAAAAAATACAAACACTCTATACAAACTACCCATTTAGAGTCTTTGTATTTGTAGCTTTGTTGTTGTGGTGAGAGATATTTCAGTTTGAAAAAGGCCGTCTCATATATTCTAACCACTGTGTATATTTGTGTTTCCAGTTCATGTGAAAGCAGGAACCTGTGAGGTAATTGCTGCACATCGATGCTGCAACAAGAACAAGATCGAAGAGCGATCCCAGACTGTCAAATGCTCCTGCTTCCCTGGACAGGTGGCAGGAACAACAAGAGCAGCTCCATCTTGTGTAGACGGTATGCCAAGCTTCTCATTACAGTTTTGGTGATGATTTGAGACCAAATTCTGATTAGGGTAGAAATGTGGCACGGTGTAAACCTGTCACACCTGTCACTGTGCCTCTGGTGCTTATTTCACTGATCGTTTGGCACAAGGAGTTTCTCGTGAAGCAAAAAATACAATGTTGAGATTGCTGTTGTATAACCCAAAGGCTTCATAATCTTCAAATCAATTCACTTATCAGTTCATTCGCTCAGCTGTTTGTCTGTTTTATATCAGACATGTTCAGTGGAATAGACAGAAGGCCAGGTCATTTAAAATTATGTCAAAAGTGGCCTCAGTTACAGGTGAATCGATCCCTATCTCCTCTTTTCACTGTAATATCTCTGACAAGGCTTCCATATTTTGACAGTTCTCCCTTCACTTTAGAAATGTCAGGGAAAGCTGTTTCTGCCCTATAGGCCTCCTTGAAGCAACAAAAAATCTTGACGCATAAGCTTGCTGCACGCTTTTGTTCTCCTCCTACATACAAACATTCATCCTCCACACACCTTAACACACCTGCTCACTACTCTCACTGGCTTGACATTGACCCATGCCCTGTAATTCAGGCCTGAAAACACTCTGGAGCAGGACTGACAGGTCTCCACCACCAGCTAGAGATCAAAGTGCTCTCGTTAATCACTGTGCTGTGTATAGAAGTCAAAGGCACTTGCTGTTACTTCAGTCAGAGCAGAAGAACGCTACATATTTAAACAGCATGGTGCTAATTGTTTACTCTGCTGTTTTTCTCTTTTCCTTTATTTCCACTTTTATTTTACTCCCAGCATCCATAGTTGCACAGAAGTGGTGGTGCCAGATGCATCCCTGCATGGATGGAGAAGAGTGTAAAGTGCTGCCTGATCTCAAAGGATGGAGCTGCAGTACAGGAAACAAAGTTAAGACAACTAAGGTGTGTTGAGTTCTGTGTTTGAAAGTAAAAAGTGGGTTCGCGCCTTCATTCATTAAATTGCTAAAATCAACACAATAACACAGTGATAACAAAGTCACAGCCTAGAATAAAAGCTGTAAGAAAATGTGACCCTAAAATAACGGGGAGGTGCGAGGTGAAAGAAAAGGAAGAAAACCTAAGAAAGCACTGAAAGTTTTTTTTTTTCATTAACTTCAGATGAATGAGATCAGAGTAGGCAGAGTAGAAGGCAGCAGGAGAGGAAGATGTGACTCACAGGGGAGAATCAGTGAAGTGTATCTTGAAGCGATCAGCTTCTGCACTGGAAGGGGGTGAGTTAAGTTCAGCAATCTATTTACTTTTAGACCTATTTTGTTGTCTAACTACAGTCAGTTTATTGTATTTTACTTAAGCTACTAATTTGGTTGCAGCATTTAGATGAGGTATTCGGCAATGCAGCAGGCTCTGGGGCAGACCAGGATGTAAAGGGAAGCTGCTGCTGAAATGTACTCTTCCATGCAATACAATTAAAGCCAAAGAATTCTGGCCTCAACCCTCAGTTTATTTTGGCACAACTGAACTCAAAAGCAATTTTATCCACAAAATACGAAGGAATGTGTAAAATGAAGATTGGTATAGCTAGCCAGAAAACAAATCTAGTTTTGTTATATTAGCAAAATAGTAGCAATAGAACTTAACGTACAATAGGCTAAAGTAGGTAGTTTGGACAATTTCTGACTGTGTTCAATCATCCAAATTCTAGATTATGTTAGGAAAATTCGGTTGGTTTATGTGAACAAACTGCCTGGCTTGAGCTGCAGGAGGCAGGACACGGGATGATCGCTCAAGTGTTGTTAAATACACCAGACAATTACATCCTCTTTTCCCACCTTGGCACAATCATTGAAACTTTGTAGGGAGCTGACAGGCTAAATGCGTTTACCGTATTTACTGTTGACTTATCATATGTAAGAGAATATGCACAAAGGGAATTGTCAGGAAAGAGATGGCTGTTTGGAGACATCACTTTTATTAGTATTTTGAAAAACAAGTTATGGGTACATATTTGCATAACTTTTTAGGTATATGTACAAGTAGCGGTAATTACAAGTATGAAACATGTACTGTGCTTCATAAATGAGTAACAAATGTAGTACATA